GTTCGTTGTGAATTACAGCGTTTGTTATAGCGCGACTGTGGAAATTGAGGGTATTGCAAAGTTGTATTCAGAAAGAATAAACCAGTTTTATTTAAGAAAGGACTTGTATCGCTAAAGTTTCTTCGGAAATAATTTTTACGGAAAATTAACTAACGAACGGAGGCGTAACAATAGGTTCAAAATACACAGACACAGTCGAACAGTAAAATATTAATCTAATAACCCGAGCAAAGCCGAGTATTTTGGCTAGTTTGTAATATTACAAAGGTTACAATGAATCATTGAATTTCCAAATCAATATATCATGAAATAAAGAACTCCATATTTATTTTGTGTTCTTCGATAAAGATATGTTTTTCGTGGTATAACTTATATACCAGTTATCATGATTTATACTTTACTCTTTTATATAATGGATATCGATTATTGTCGTAGTTTTGTTTATATTTATAGCATTGTGCTGATTACATACTTATTTCAAACGTCAAAACAACTTGTATGTGAGCCGCAAGAGGGTGGGGTCGTGTACTAGTATCGTAGTAGGTTAGTGCTAGTTTGCAGTCAAACAGGTGGTTTCGAAGTGGTATGTGTGTTGTTGTAGATTAAAGATGGTAAAATGTAATGCATGAAAATGTTTTGGCTTTATATTTGACATGTGTTTACTTCCACTGATTCTACGAAATGTTTGCAGATACTGACAACTTGGAAGGAGGAGGTGACTGGTGAGTGGACTTGGGCCGTTTATATTTAAACATGGAATACCAAAAATGTTATTGTTATGAGTCACGGTTTTCTTTTTACACCATGTAAAACTAAAATGAAACAGTTAAAACTTGGCGTGGTTGTGCATTGTGTTTCTAACGGTGAGAACGTAAGTAAAAATAAACGTATTAATTCGAATATCTGAAGTAGTTTCCTTAGGCTTATGTCAATTTTAAAGTTTAACTTCAAAATTTTCAAACTTGTTAATTTTAAAGTTTAATACTCGAAGTTGAACATGAATCTAAATAATGATTAATGGTCTAGTAGTAGTATAATTGATACTTGAATTGTTGAAACCGTCATTACTTGGTGAAACTCCATAATCAAAGAATTGAGGAAAAAACAAAGACAATTGTATGTTTCACAAATATTTCGTTAATGAACGACCAAATCGAACATGGATGGGTCCTCTACTGGCGAAACCATGATCGTTAATTAATGAAATATTTGTGAAATGTACTACTTTGTTTTTGTTTTCCCCCTCAATTCTGTAAATGTAATTAATGGTCTAGCGTTTTAATTTTACAGTTTTTCTGACCATGACTAGTATGAGTATGAGACAGAGTATCTCATGACGTCTCATTGTGTCAAAATTTTGTGTATGGAAGTTATAATAATAAGAAATGCATAGTATTTATTACACAATCGGAAAAAATTTCCATTCTTTACTGTGCTGATATACTTCAGTCATAACTCATGTCATCTGCCTAATTCCATGTTTTCTAGTGTAATTAGAGGATATCATTATTAGTGGTAAGTAGTGTCAAAACATTTATTGTAGTAAAAACTTTTGGTATGTGAGAGAGAGTAGTAGCTTAAAAACAATATTATTTACTGAAATACATTGAAATATTTGTTGATGGATATGAAACGGTAGGAGATCAGTGTTCAGTAATTATATCTGTGTCCTATGAAATACTATTAGGAATCATCAATTAAAAAAAACCCAAGAGCCCATTGGTCCAACAGTCCTAGTAGCTCTCCTCTAAACCCACTCCAAAGTAACCCTTAACACTAACTCCATCTATTACCTATCTTGTTTTGCCTTGATTTTTGTTTGTAATCTGCTATATTCCACCTCCAATAGTGCAATCTTCTCAAAAGCTACAGTATGGGTAACTTATCCTCAAGTAAGTAAGCTCTTGGGTATCATAAAGCAAGGAATCATACTAGCAGTCAATCTTTGTGCACTTTCCAACATCTTGATATTATCTCTAGTTCTGTATAAGAATTGAATAAAATAATTTTTAAACATAAAATGTTTATAAATATATCATACCATGACACGTATTTGCTTTAAGCAATTTAATGTTTTAAGCTTTTATTAACAACTGGATCTAAGTTTTAGTTTTCAATATCACACTTTTCTCAAAGAAGTCATTCATTTACATATTATCATACTTTGAATGACTGATTATACATTACTTATTACAGAAACTCATTTTTCAAAAACATTTTGAATAAGAGAAACATTTTCAATAAAATTGGCCTTTCTGTCATATAACTAGTCTTAGAAATAACTGTTTGAAAGGTTAATAATATTTCTGAGATAAATGATAAAAGTTTTTAGATGTGTGAAAACTGACCCTCATATGTTAACTTTGCTAATATCATGTAAGAGATATGATCTTTATTAGCTTTTCTAAAACATTCTTCCTTTAAAAAAATTAAGGAAGATTTTACTAACTTTAAGAAAATTGTTTGGCATATGTATATCTATCTTTCTTTTTTTTTACTCTTTACTAGTGCTTCTACCAAAAAGTATTTCAGTAGTCTTTCATAATGTTTGTAAATTTTATGTTCTTGCAAACTTTGTGCTTTTCTACTTTTCATGTATGTTAATAAAACTTACAAATGTCTTTTGGTTAAAGCTAAAAAAATTGGAATGAACTGTTTGAATTAATAGGTTTTTTCAGTTTTGTAAACATTTTAAAATGTACTTGCATTTTTTAAAGTTGGTATTTATAAAGCTTATGACTAGATTCTTGTTAACTCTAACAACTAATTTCAAAATGTGCAAGTAATAATGTTAAGATTATTAGGACTCCAGTCCTAATGCAGGTAGCATCTTCTATTATAGATTTTTTTCATATATTAACCATTTAGGTACACTTGTCACCAGATGGTGACCACATAGCATGGTTTGAATTTCCCACAGGAAATGCAAATCAAGTGCACAAAATTAATAGAATAAAATCTAATCTGCACAGATAATGATCTCAGCCACTGATTTGTATTCAACATGGCATATATTGCTATTCTAAAAATTGGTAATACTTGCAGTTAAAAATTGTTTAATTTTTATGAAATAACAGACCCCCCAAAGTGACATCAAATTGCTCCAGTGCTTTCACACTTGAAGAGACAAATGAACTTGTGCAAGCTGACAATGATTCTGACTCTGAACCTGAATTACTTGACAGTGATTACTTGAGCATGATATGGCTGATACTGATGTGGATAGTTATAGTAGTAATGATGAATTTAGGCCAGCGTGGACAAGTGATGATTGTGACAGTGATTACGAGTCTTCTAAAAGGGCCAAATTTCAAGGTATGACTCAAGGGATATCTTGTGGACATGGTACATGATGTAATAATAATATACCTGTTGCCATTGCTAGTACAGATGGGGATGCAACTATACATACACATCCTCCCAGATCCAGATGATTTATTTGTGTTAAATCAGAAGTAAAAAAAAAAAGATAAACTACAAATTTTTAAATATGTGGAGAATGTAATAATAGGTTAGACTCACTTTTCTTTATTGTCAAATTTCATGATTTGAATGATACAACAAAATATTACAGATTAGAATAATACATTAGTAAAAGAAAATATCAAATGCATTATTTTTATCACTTATTTAAACAAACTCCTGAGCACTGTTTTTCTGTTCAGTTCGTTTTTTCTTTCTGAGTTGCAGTCAGTGCCTGTACTCCTACCTTATGTTTGGATATGGTGCAATTCATATTGTAGACCTATGTCATCCACATACAACTGAATAATTTGTGAGCTGCTTGCCAGATTGTTGCACAGCTGTGCAGTACACAGGTTAGAAGGAACATTAGTCTTCAGTACTTTATCATTTTGTTCAAGGTTTTATCTGTGGTAGAGCTAATAAGAAGCATCAAAGTCTTAAAACTAATAAAAATATTCAAGTAACTCATAAGTAAAAAATAAAAGATTATTTCTTGTGCTATCAGGGGTATAAAAAAAACTACATAGTTTTACTCCTGGAAGTGCCTTTTTTTTTATACTTGTGTGTAAAATATTTCAAGTAATAGAATTCTTAAGTATCGTGTTCTATCTGGCTCTTAAGTTTTTATTCAAAATATCTTGCAGAACCATTTAGAATTATTATTATATGAAACTTCAATGTTCCTAGACTTGTTCAGTGTAGGTTTGTTGGAAAAATACCTTTTGTATTTGAGTTACAGACTTTTGAATACATTGATTTTCTTTAATTTCAAAATCATAACAATTTGGGACAACGTAGGACCTATTGGTCCATTTTGGCTGTTCCATCCTCTAACCTAATTTAAAATAATAATAAAAAAAAATCTTAAAGCCAGCTCTTATCATTCATATACTTATCAAGCTTTTTCTTAAATTTACTGCCTCTACAACATTCGAAAGCAACCCATTCCAAAGGCCAACTATCCTGTTAGAAAAGTGAAACTATCTTAGCTGAAGATGACTTCTACCTTGCCAACATTTATACTTGTGTCCCCTAATCCTACTATTCTCACTGTTAAGTATGAAAAAAGATGATGCATCAACACTACCAATTCCTTTTACAATTTTAAACACCTCAACCAGATCCCCTCTAACTCTTCTTTTTTCAAGAGAAAACAATTTGAAAATTTCAGCCTCTCCTCATATGACAACCCCTCCATCTCAGGCTCCATTCTAGTAACCCTTCCCTGAACCCTTTCCAACAATTCAATGTCTTTCCTAAGGTAGGAGCACAAAACTGAACACAATATCCCAAATGTGGCCTAGCCAGTGACCTGTACAATGAAATTATAACCTCTTTAGACTTGTATTCAACG